TAGGTTTCTCCTTAGATGGTTGCAAGGGGTTAAGCAGAGGGCCAGAAAAGCTTTTTTCTCCAGTCTGCTCCCTTCCTCCCCACTCCACCTAAGGCACCTGCAGTAATGTTCAGTGAATTTCAATCACTGCAAAAAAGCTCAGCAAGCATTCTCATTTTCACACTTTGCAGAAGGAGAAGCTGAGGCATGTGGGATGATTGCAGAAAAGCGATCTGCACTCCAACACTGTCCAGAATAGCCAGAATCTGGAAGTACCCCTGTGCCCAAGATCAGATGAGTGAATAAGGAAACTATTGTACAGCAGATATGCCACTGGCCCCCGTACATGCCAGGTTATTTCATTTGGGGCAATCCAGAGCGGGGTTGGTGAGTTTCACCACCCATACTTAGAGAAGCAGCCCAGGCAGTGAAAACCCTCCAGAACAAAAAGCCACCATCTCCACAGGCTCCATGAGCCTTATCCTTGAGTGAACCCTTCTCTTGAAATGGATGGTGACTTCCTTGTAGAATGGTGAGATCCTGGTAGTGAATCCATAATACAGCTCATGCAGGATCCTGAGGTCTTGAGTTTGAATGCCCTGTTTGCTTAGTGCTTCGATGACCGCTTCAGTCTCAACAAAATCAAAGGCCTTTTTTAAGTCAATGACAGAGCGGCATCTTGAACTCCTGAGAAACCTCAATGAGCTTGGTTATTGTGTGGACATGGTCAGTCGTGATGAATCCTTTTCAGCACCCAGATTGCTCGTATGGTTGTCCTTCATCCAGTGTTCTGCCATTCCTATTCAGGATAACTCCACTTATCACCTTGTAGACGATGGACAACAGGCAGACTAGGCAATAGTTGCCAATGTCATGGATGTCTCCCTTCTTGTACAGTAGTACAGTCCTGCAGGTTTTCCATTGGGACGGAACCTTGCCATTCAGAGAGGTAGCGTGCGAAGAGCCAAGCCAGTATATTGTTGAGTACTGATGGCAGGTTCTTCAGGTATTCGGATCTGACATTGTCTGGGCAGAGTGCTGTTTGCTTCTTTACCAATGAAATGACATGTCGGATTTCAGAAGGGCGAATGTTGGGAACAACATATCCATCCTGCGGAATTTGGTATGTGGGCAAAAGTACGTGGCTTTCGAAGAGATCCGAGTGGACGTCATGTATAATCTTCTCCATTGCCTTTCTGGAAGATGTGATAGATCCATCAGGACGTCGGAGGGCAGTCATCTTAGTCTGGTAGTTGGCGAAGGACAGGTGGGCGTTGCAAATGCTTTTCCTGGCTTCTGCTGCATCAGCCAGCACTGCTGCTGAAGGATTGTGAACAACATCATAAAAATTAAATAAAAATTTTAAGTAAAAAAGATTAGAAAGAAACTGATGCATCTACATAATGGGACACTACATGACTGTTAAAAAAAATAAAGCCATAATATTTGCTGAGACATGGATAGATATGGAGAGTGTTATACAGAGTTAATGAGTCAATGGACACAGGCAAACATACAATGATGACACTCATTTGGGGATATAAAAAGTCAAAAATAACAACACAATGTGTGGATAGTACCCAAAGACTAGAAATAAGAGCCAGAGGAAATAGCTCATGGAAAAAAGCATGCCAGAAAAAGGGAGGGGAGTGAAGTTAGGACAGGGAAGAGCCCACTTTGACAATGATAGTTGGAAATGATCATTCTGAACAAAAACTAAGTGCTGAAAGAAGAGAAAGAGAAATGCACAGTACCTTTTCAGTAAGAGTATTGCAAACTACGGTGCCTAAGCCTAATGAGATAGACAGAAAAACAGAGAGAAAGTGTCTGGCATAGAACAGCTTTGGAGGAAAGGTGGAGGAGGCGTGCAGGAGGGAAACTGGGGACATTGGTGGTGGAAACACGCACTGATAAAAGGATGGGTGTTGGAACATTGTATGACTGAAACTCAATCATGAATGGTTTTGTAACTATATATCTCACTGCATGTTATAAAGAAATGTGTTTCATCCTCAGCAGTGCTACAGTTGCATTTGAACCATTATTCATCTATTATGTGAGAATACCTTCATGCTGTAGCACTGTAGCACTGTTCTCCAGTTGTTCATCGATTTACTCGCACAGGCACCAGTAACATCTCCATTGTGAGTCTTGTGATTACTGTGTTTGGCATATGAATACATCACGGGTAGGTTGTCAGGCTTTTCTGTGTGGGGAAGATACTCTCAGTAGCTTGCTGGTTTCTCCGAGAGGGGCGGAGGAATTGAACCCAGGTTGGCCGGGGCGCCTGAGTGCAAGGCAAACGCCTTACCGCTGTGATATCTATCGACCACTCATGCCTATCATATGAAAATTAGAAAGCTTCAGTTCCAAATGTGAAAACCATCCAAACTCAATGGCCTGTCCATGATAGACATAACCCTACTCTGGGGCCTGAGCAGTGGGTCATCGAATCAACCTCCAATTCAATTCAATAAGTATCCTTAATCACGATCACAATCACGATCATCCTGTTGTTCGTCAATTGCCTCAAGCAGGCACCAGTAACGTCTCCTTCGCCCTAGCCTTGAGATTTTAAAAAGTGCCACATTCTAGGCTCTTTCAGGGTCAGGAGAATGAGACCCATCATTGTTACTGGTTTTTGGCATATTGGGTACGCCACGCGGAGTTTGCCAGACTCTGCCATGTGGGCAGGTTACATTCGGTAGCCTGCCAGGTTGTCCAAAGAATGAGATAATAAGATGTCGCGCAGCCGTGAATGCAGCCCCATGCTTCTGGGAGCTGGGTTTTATAGTCTCTGGGTCTTGGCCATTGATAGGATTACATGGTGCTGGGGGTCAGTTGGTGGGTGTGACCCCTGCCTATTGGAAGGTGGAGGATCTGGGTGGAGGATGCTCAGTCCCGATCCTAGCAGGCTTGGAAATCTCAGTCCCGGGACCAGCATGCCTTTGTTCCTCTGCCGGTACCTTCATGTGTGTGGAGAGTTCCAGCACAGCATCATGGAAAAAACATGATCTCAATTCTACTGTGGACAGTATGATTCTGAATCTAGGAAGTGGCACGGATCCCTCATTTCCGGGCAGTGCCCGTGGATCCTGGCAGAGCAGGAGGTCGCTGGCAAAGGCAGTAGTAGAACTGCGCCCTGGAGAGTGGCAGGCAGGAGAGGGTACGCTCAGTGCGGGGCCAGACCGCACCTCTCCCTTTCCAGAGCACCATGGTCCAAGGCTCCGAGATTAAAGCCAGCCCTGGAGAATTCAGCAGGAAAGCAACTGCAAAAAATGCCACCGTTCAGCAATCTCTGACTGCGCAGTAATTTCTCCCGGAGACAGATGCCCCCTAAGGAACGAAAGCGGAAAACCAAGCCAATGGACAGCCACAAGCAAGAGCAAAAGAGAGCAGAACTGCGAGCCCCTCTCCCCTCGCGACGCCTGGGCCACAACTTCAGAACATCTTGCACATCTTAATAATTTTGTCAATTTCCCTTAACTGAGACTATGAAACCCAGGATCCACAGAGAAGATGCTCACTCCTCCTCCCTGGATGCTCCCAGTAGATATTGACTCAGCCCCTGAGCCCTGTGATCTGAATCTCCCCTGACTTTCTTTCTGCTAGGACTTCTCACTCCCTCCCACTTCACAGATTAACCAAGAGAGGGCAGCAGAGAATCATGGAGTCCAAAGGAGCTGGGGTGGGTCACAGCAAAGGCTTGTCTAACTAAGTAGAATGTAAATGTCCAGGGTGCTAGTGTTTAGTAATCAACCTCATACCTAAGGAAAAGGTATTTATTTTCCTACCACCTAACAGTGATGAGCATATTTTTCTCTTTCTTTGTCTTTCTTTCTTTCTTTCTTTCTTTCTATCTTTCTTTCTTTCTTTCTTTCTTACTTTCTCTTCCTTCCTTCCCTTGTTCCCTCCTTCCTTCCTTCCCTCCCTCCCTCCCTCCCTCCTTCCCTCCTTCCTTCCTTCCTTCCTTCCTTCCTTCCTTCCTTCCTTCCTTCCTTCCTTCCTTCCTTCCTTGCTACTTTTCTTTGACTCCTTTTGAATCTGAACTTTGTTGTGTGGCAAATGGCAGGGCCTGTGGTATGAATAGGGTTGGGGTATCATGGGGAACTGGGGAAACTGTAATGCATTCTAAGGAGGTCCTGGGGGAACTGTGATGCTGATCAAACCTTGTGGTATCAGAGATTACTCAGCCACTGGAAGGGTGCTGTGGGGAATCCAGAGCTCTCCTCAGTTATTCTGGGTCCAGAAGCACATAGTGCTGGGAATCTAAGCAGTATTGTTTTCAAGCAGGGCACCTAGGATACGAAATCTGTGTGTGTGTGTGTGTGTGTGTGTGTGTGTGTGTGTGTGTGTGCGCGCACACGCGTGCGCACCATACCTGGCGATACTCAGGAATTCTGACTCTGCACGCTTGGACAATATGTGGTGACAGGGATCAAACTGGGCAGGTCCTGCACATGGAGTAACACGGCTCACTGTATTATCTCTCAAGCCACAGGATCTGAAATATTTTTGGTCCAGAGAATACTATCTAGTCAGTTTAACATTTTAATGTCCGTTAGTATCTAGTAACAAGAAGGATTCTCTATCCTTTACTTGAATTAAGGAATAAAGTTATTTTTATTATTGTATGAATGTCCCCAAAAGTGAAGGAAACCAACTATAAAATATATTTTAATGTAAAATCTTGTAATTTAAGCCAATATTTCATATCATTTATCAAATTATTTATTCTTAAAACACAATGTGTCAAAGCCCTAAAATAGCTCCTAAACAGACAAAATTCCCATAACAAAGACAAAATAGTCAGGGAGATATCACTAAGCAGCAGGTGGGGGCTGCTGGGTCAGCCCTCCCCCTTCCTGTGTCCCTTGGGTCTGGGCCCTTTTCTGCAGCCATGACAGCCAGCAGTACCACTTAGCCTGGCTGATTTGCATAGCCAGCAGCTCTCTGCCTGAGGGGATAAGAGGGAACCAGGAGGACTTCAGCCTCAGTTGCCAGAATCCCAGTCCCTCATCATGACCTGGGCCCCGCTCCTCCTGGGCCTCCTGGCTCACTGCACAGGTGAGGGGTCCAGGCTCACAGCAGCCCCAAGCCCAGTGCTCTGGGACCATCCTGGTCCTGAGTTTGAGCTCAGTAGGGCACTGGGATAGGATTCCCATCACCCTGATGGAGATAGGGGGTGGGGGGTAGGGTCCCACTGAATTACTACAGGTTATGAAAATTGGGATCTGGTAGACTGAGATTCCTCTTTTCCTGACCTCTCCTTCTCTCTAGCAGGTTCTGTATCTTCCTATGAGGTGAATCAGCCGCCCTCAGTCTCTGTGAGCCCAAGAGGGGAGGCCAAGATGACCTGTGCAGGAGACAATATTGGAGGCAAAATTGTTTCCTGGTACCAGCAGAAGCCAGGCCAGGCCCCAGTGCTGGTCATCTACAGTGATAACAAGCGGCCCTCAGGGATTCCTGACCAGTTCTCTGGCCACAAGTCTGGCAACCTGGCCACCCTGACCATCACGGGAGTCCAGACTGAGGATGAGGCTGACTATTACTGTTTAGCAGCTGTTAGCATTGGGAGCAGCTGGCAGTGAGCACAGTGGCACAGACTCTGGGGAAGTGGGGTAAGAACCTCCTGTTCTGTCCTGGTGATCACCCTCACTGTGCTCAGTAACTGAGGCTTGGGGGGACAGGCAACTTCCATGCTCTGATCATGATCTCAAACAAGAGGTGGTTCTCTATGCTCCTGGATCTTCATTTATCCTTTAAGAACACAAAACTCTCGAGGACTAGAGCCATAACAGGAAGTAAGGCCCTTGCCTGGCATGCAGCAAGCCTAGTTTGATCTCTAACTACCATATGGTCCCCTGAGCCACACCATGAGTGATCCCTGAGTGTAGAATAGGAGTAAGTCCTGAGCATAACAAAGTGAGGCCCCCAAAATAAATGAAATAAAAAATAAAACTTTTAAACCCTGGATGTTTTGAATTCTTCAATGTTTAATGTTCCTCAACTTTTGTGAACACCTGCTGGTCTGGAGTCCCTCCAGCTGTGTGTAGGGCAGCTTCAGCCCCTGCCGAGGTAGTGTCTTCACTTCCTCATCCCACATGTGTGAGGGGAATTCAGACACCAGAAGGACAATCTCTGACTCTGAGTGGCCTCTGACTTATGGTGGCCTTCATGTAATCCCTTTCCTCTTGTCCTTTGATGAGACTGCAGGTCTTTCAGTGTTAGAGAAGTACTCCTTGGAAGGAGAAGCACGAGATACCATCACGGGCTCAGTTATTAGAACTGAGATTTATGATACCTGGATTTTTGTATGTTGCTGAGAATTTTTATCAGAAGTTTGTGAAACTTCCATGTCACTCTCTTCTGTATATGGATAGGAAACAAATGTCACCATGACTTGATACTCAACTTGAATGATTGTTCTTATACATTTAACCTCCTGAACCAAACATCCCCACTGTCTTTTTGTCCCTCTTCTATGTGAGGGACAAAAAGGGGAAAAATCTTTTTCACATATCAGTGAGGCGCTTACTATGGACAGAAGTTAGTGTTTCCCTGAGGAGATTCAGAGGGACAGAACCCGGGGACAACAGGTATTTCATTTTGGTTTGCCATACTTCCTGTGGCTGAGCAGGCCTCACACTGAAGGTCAGGCTAGCCTGGGACACTGATAGAAGCCAAGCACAGAGCGTGACTTACCTGTGAAAGACAAGGGTCTCACACTTGTTTGAAAAGAAATGCTGGTTTCAGCCTCTCGGGCATGTTCAGGGATGCCTTGACCTCTGCTCTTTAACCTCTCCTTCCCTCTTTCAGACCAGCTCTGATCTCCATCAAAAAGTCTCTGGATAGCTAGAAAAGAAGTGACAAATGAGAGTGTGACTGGTTTCATGGTCGCATTTCCTGTACCACGTGTCTCTGTATACCACAGACTCCAGCCAGTTGCCTCACCAAACACCTAGTACACTGCACAGGTTAGGATGCCCTGGAAAGAACACAGGCCAGCATGAAGGGGAAAAGCCCTGGAAGCTGATTATGGTCGTAGACATCAAAGAGAAGGTTGATATTCTGAATGAGAAGCAGCTTAGTTTAAGTGATTGCAATCCATTTTCCCTTAAGGCACCTGATTTTCATCCTGTGTGTGCTAAGATCTTCTTCTAACCAGAGGAGCAGTACATTTGCATGAAGAGCAAACCATTTTTAATCAAAAGGACCAGAGAGGATAGAAGATGTTGTAGATCCCAACAGTGTAGTGGGATCAAGCAGCGCTCTGGATAGGATACATCAAGGCCCAGCCCCTTTACCTGCTCCCTCTCCTTGCTGTCTGCACAGGTGGCCCCTCAAAGGATCAGCCCAACAGGCCTGCCGCAAACACTGAGCTGCACACTGACACAGACTCACTGTGGAACCTCCTGGGGCCTGTCCTTTCTTGTTCAACTCTGTATCATCTCCTTTCTCTCAAGGCTCTATGGCCTCCTTTAATCTGACCCAGTCATTTTCCACATCAGTGGACCTGGTACTGACAGTCAAGCTCACCTGCTCCTAAGACAACCCAGAGATGAGAAACACTACTCATTGGTATCAGCAAAAGCTTGGCCAGGTCCCTGTGCTGGTCATCTCTGGTGATAACAACCAGTCCTCTAGGATCCCTGACGCTTCTCTGGCTCTAAATGAGGAATGTGGCCACCCTTATGACCAGAGATACCATGGATGAGCAAGAGGCTGACTTTCACTGTAATGGGTGGAATACTCCAGTGGCAAAACCCACAGTGACATGTGCAGATGGAAAGTGATACACAAATCCCTGTCCCAACTGAATCATACTCCCATCCAAACCCATGAGCTTGTAGTCAGAGCTGCAAACACATCTGACCCAGAGAGATCTGAGGTCCCCATCCCAAATTATGGAACAGGCTCTATACAGGCATCACGAAGGGTGAATTTGGGATTGTAGGATGAAGCTGTCATGGTGTCGCTTGGGAGGGGGTGTTAAGCAAACATGAGCAGACTTCAGCATTACTAGAGGGAAATGCGTGTCCAGTGAGTGAAAAGATAACCTGAGGCATATTAGCATTTCAAGGTTGTTTTCACGCACATACTTATTTGCGAGCTATACTAGAAGCAGTTATGAGCCTTCCCGGGATGTGGGACAGGGAAAAAGACTACAGAAAGGAGGAAAATGCAAGGCAAGGAGATGATTAAGTGACCAGAACTCAATATTCAGCCCAAACCTTAGGACTGAGCAACCTCAGAACATAACTTAATAAGAGTAAAGGACTTGAGAGACTCTCAACAAAAAAGTCACCAGTGCGCAAAATCCTTTACCTTGACAAACCTTGCCAATGACTCCTTTCTACACAGAGAGCTCCAAGCTGAGCAGCTTAGAGAGGTATAAACCCTGCTTCCTGGAGGATTCAGGACACGCTATTCTGGAGTGACTGAATCCAACTAAGAGTGTCCCTTCCCTTGGGCGTTTGCCTTTGTCTGGAGAAGCCCTTATTCTTCCTTGCTTTTAATATATTTTCCCTCCTCATTTGTGTGTGTGTCCTTGTGTGTGTGTGTTTGTGTGGGTGTGTTGTTTGGGAGTCACACCTAGCAGTGTTCAAGACTTGCTCCTGGCTCTGCACACAGGGATCACTCCTGGCAGGGCCCGGGTAACTCTATGTGGTTGCAAAGATTGAACTCAGGTTAGTTGCACGCAAGTCAAGCACTGTAGTCTCTATACTATATATCCGGTCCCTCCAAGTAATTATTTTTAAATAAAACTATTTTGCTTGACTCTTTCACCTCTTCTTGAAATTATTTTCTTTGGGAAATTATGATGCTCCTGGAGTATTATGCTGAGACTTGCCTCACTATGCTTTTTTGCAAAGATCAATTTCTCACTCCACACTGAGGCTATGACTCACTGAGCATTCAGATTGTGGGGACCAATTGTCATGCTGTGCAGAATGAGTGGACTTTACGCATAGCTTGCTGGCTGTATAATAGTGCCAGTGGGACATGAACATCCATGGCATATAGATGCTAGGAACAGATTTTATCTGTTCTGACTATCTAGGTTTTACCTGAGTGACTGAGGAGAGTTGAGCAAAGAGACAGAAAAACTTTTTTCTCCAAGCTACCCCCTTCCTCCCCAATCCACCCAAGGCACATGCAATAAGGTTCAGTATACTTTATTTATTGCACAGTAGCCTAACATTCTCATTTTCACCTTACAGAAGGGGTAGCTGAGGCATGATAGTGAGTGCAGAAAAGCATTCTGCATCCAGAATAGCCAGAATCTGGATACAACCCCATGCCCAAAATCAGACGAGTGCATAAGGAAACTATTGTACAGCGAAGATGCCAGTGGCCTTCATGCCAGGCTGTCTCATCCGGGGCGATCTGGAACAGGGCTGATGAGTTTCACCCCCAAAAAAGCCCTAGCAGTCAAAAATCTCCAGAACTCAACGCCACCATCTCCACTTGCTCCATGAGCCTCATTCTTAAGTGAATCTGCTGGAAAACACATGTTGAGGTACTTGTGACTGAAATCTCCAAGTTTGCCTGCATTCCGGAATGTGTGACCAACCTCCATTGCCCTGGGCTTCAGTATATGGCAGTCACACCTACAAAATGTCTCTGGCTCCATTTAATCTCATTCACGTCCATGATCCAGAGACTTTCAAATAAATTTCAGAAGAGGAAGAGAGCAACAGATGCAGAAATGCCTTTGGACCTCAAAGTCAACATTCAGTTAAAAATTTAATGATCCCCATATCTCCTGCCCCTGTGCCTGGCTGTCCTTGCCGGGCCCCCTCTGAGGGGGGCTGATTGAGTTTCCTTCCCTGCCCTGAACAGAGCTCCGGCAGCTGAAGACCTCCAGAACCAGCCACCACCATACTGAGACCACTCTCCACACGCATGAAGGTACTGTCAGGGGAACAAAGGCATGCAGGTTGTTGGGCTGAGATCTCCAAGCCTGCCCGGATCAGACTCGGGATGAGCATCCTCCATCCAGATCCTCCATATTCCAGTAGGCAGGGGTCACACTCACCATCTGACCCCCAGCGCCGTGTAATCCATCAACGGCCAAGATCCAGAGACTATAAAACCCAGCTCCCTGAAGAGAATAGTGCAGAGTTTCCTGCCCCCATGCGTGGCTGTCCTCTCAGGCCATGCCACATCTTATTATCTCATTCTTACTTTGGACAACCTGGCAGGTTACCGAATGTTACCTGCCCACATGGCAGAGTCTGGCAAACTCCCCATGGTGTACCCAACATGCCAAATACCAGTAACAATGATGGGTCTCATTCCCCTAACCCTGAAAGAGCCTTGAATATGGCACTTCTTAAAATCTCAGGGCTAGGACGAAAGAGACATTACTGGGGCCTGCTCGAGGCAATCAACGAACAACAGGATGATCGTGATCGTATCAAACTACTGAAAATCTTAGAAATTCTGCACATATCATATTCTCTACAAGGGCTAAATGACTCCAGGGTGATAAAACAATCTTCTCACACATTCATTTAAGGAAAATTTTGGATCACCTTTAGAGAATTAATCATAATAGGCAATACAAAGGAAATTATTATGTTCT